GAGAGGGTTGTGGGGTTGGGGAAGAGAACACCAGTGAAAGATCACTATTGCAGAGGTCACTAGGGACAGCAGGTGAAAAACAGCGCTTAGTTCTGCTGCCCCAGGACGTGTGAACACTGCTGTTTGGAACTGTGGATAGCTACTGTACGCAAACTGGTGCAGGCAGAAAAGTTATAGCTTAATTTCAGAGTCCTGCTTTTGATCTAGCCTGCATTTTGCATCTGCAAGGGATTGAGATTAGCAGAAAGGTCAAGAACCTAATGGTCCTTAATAAAACTGGCATTTCTGAGTCCATTGGGAGTGCAGGCTGAGGTAATACAAGAAGGGGTGAGATCTGCAAAATAGTCAGACTTCACTGAATGTAAGAGGTAATTCTGTGAGTCATGGAAGTAGCAAATTCCTTTGGATTTGTCTTCTGGTCAGGTCCTCTGATGTGTAATCAGCTGGACGTTCTGACTGAAGCTTTTTCTGCATTCATACCATCTTTTCCAGATGAATTCGTGGTGCCTGATAAGGCTTGGCTCGCATTGCAATATCTGCTCTAGTGGTAGGCACAGATTTGGGACAGTCACAGATTGCCATGAAATTTGTTGGAATTTTAGTGTCTTTGAGATGGTTACTTTTGTGACGTATGTGATTGAAATTGGTCAGTTGGGTTAAAAAGTTCCAGGGGATGGACAGATGCAGGCAGGCATACGCACATATAGGCATGTTCACATCCTTAGGGAACTAGACTAAATGAAAAGGGGAAGAACTGAGAAAGTTACTGAGGAAGAAAGTAGCATCTTAAGTTTATTAATGTAGAATTTTCCTGGAAACATGCATGGAGTCTGCATATATTTCTAGACTGCCTAGACTTTAAAGGGCTCTGGAGAAAACTACATGGAGCAAAACAATGTTTTTGTTTGATACCGACAGGTTAGTTGACTGTTTACGAGACTTTGGGCCGGCTGACTGGCAGCTGGCTTGTTTGATATGCAAAACCCTGTGGAACTACAGTGAAAACATCACGAGTGTGGCCTCATGCTTTGGAGAAGATGCCGACACGTTGCTGGTGCTGCTCACGGCACTTTTAGGTGAGATTCATAGTCTTGGTCTCTTTTCCTTAATAAGAGAAATAGAAGCAGCAAAATCAAAGCAGTATTAGTTTGGGTGGGAAGCCTGGCATGCAGCTTTAAGCGGCTGGCCGGTACGGACTATCGAGCAACACAGTGGTCTGTTGCCATTCAGCGCATTCCCCCAGATCTTACAGATTGCCAAGGTGGAATTGGCCGCTGTCACTCCCCACTCTAGTTTGCCTAGTTAGCATGCTAATGCTTTTCACCAGCTGCCTTTTTGTCTGCTTGAGCCAACTATCCCGTAGACCTTCAGCACAAACCGTACTTTTCACTGGATGTGGGCCCTTCTGGCCTCAAAGGTCGTTGCAGGTATTGACAGAAGCGGGGCTCAGCTGTGGTGCGCCTGGTTACTGCACAGCACACACCGGGCAGTCTGAGGAATGTGGTTTTTTTCCCCTTAGTCGGAGGGCTCTGTGGCACAGCAGGCTGAGCTTGCTGCTCGTGACGAGAGCCCTTGGCCACCCTTCTTTTCTCACCACGATCTCCTTGTGGGCAAGGACAACATCCTGACTATTTCTCATCTGCTCCCTAAAGCTAGGGAGGGTGTGCTCCTCCACAGATACAGGCTGGAAGGTGTCTACAAGTGAACGTTAAGACCCTGATTCGCATACCCAGTTGGATCTTTTCATCTACACATTTATGTTTGCTTCAAATTTTACAGAGTTTAATTGCTATGTAACAGTCCTATAGTCACTATATTTAATTTTCCTCCTTTATTTTATGAGCACTGCTTTGGTTATGATTTTATTTTGGGTAGGTCATTTGCAATTATCTTTTTAAAAAATCTTTAAAATGTAAATGAAATTGAAGCAAACCTTAAGTAATTTTGATTTGGTTTTAATTGGAAATTTACTAAAGATGTGTGCTTGCTGTGGAGAAGGCTGCAGGTTAGTCAGACCCAGATAGAAAGTGAGATTCCCGTGGTCTCTTTTGTTTTTAGACAATCAGAAAAGTGGGTGGATTTGTGAGGATTTTTTTCCAGTTACAGCAGAATTACTGTTATTCATTGTTGTAATCACTCCTTGCATTACATTCCTTGCTATGAGAGAGCATATCTTAATGTGGGCAGTAATTCCATCTATTTATCTGAAAATACTGTGTTTCAAGATCGTTAGTGCACTTTTTAACATTCTGCAACAGAACAGCAAACTTTACAGCTACAATCGTGCTTGAATTTTCTGGCATGCAGCAAGGAATATATATCTTTGCTTTGGAAAATCCTTACTTATTTTTGCCTCTGCATTTACCACTGCTTATTCCAGCAACTGATCTGGCTGCAGAGTTCAGGCTGGGTAGCAACTGGAACTCTCATTAACTAGCACAGCTTTTGTGAACTGGAAGTTCATATACAATTGCGACTGCAGTTACAGTTGCCGTTGTAATGCAACTGTAATGACGATTAATTAAAACCGGGTCAGAATTAAATCAGAAGGCTAGTCTTTCTTCACACCGTAGTCAGAAGAGTAGCTGTAGAAAAAGCGCATCCTGTTCATTGGATCTGGTTTCTCTGTGTGTTAAGAGCCAACAAATTTTAGTAATAGCAGCTGGTTAATATTGTCCTACACCTTCCTCCTCCCATTGTATCCAGTAACAGCCTTGAACCGTCATTGCTCTATCGTTCAGGAAGCAGGAGGCAAGTGCTGACAGTCCGTGGACTGCACTTAAGCATCAGCACGGCCTCAGGAAGCGGAAAAAGCGGAGCATGGCACAGCAGACACCTCGCTTCACCTGCTGTGCTTGGCCTCCTCCCCTTTATTTTTCTTTCCCCTACCTGGCACAAGATGACAGAAGATATGAGGGAGCCAAAAGGGAGAGGAAATAGACTGAAAAGATGCTGGGTCCGAGAAAGGCTGGACAAAAGGCGCCATTTGTTTATCTTTTTCCCTGCCTGATCCCAGCAGCCTGAGACGCAGCAGCACTGCTTTCCAGCGGCACCGCTTTCCAGCGGCACTGTCATTTGCCTTCTTTCAGCGGCTCTCAAGTCTCGTGTCGCTTTATTTGCTCAGAGCTCCTGGAGGCTGGTGTTTCCAGGCCCCTGGCAGCAGCTTTGCCTTGCCCGGGTCCCTCAGGAGCAGCAGTGGAGACGAGCCTCTGTCTTGAGAACATTCTTCTGTTGGGTCATTCAGTGAAATCGCCTTTCTCCCCCTCTTTTTCCAGACTTTTCTTCTGCTCACCTTTACCTCCACTATCAAGTCGAGGAGGTTGCTACAACTTGCCAGAGTTGTAGGGATGGGTAGCCCTTGCAGACTAGAGTCTGTACTCTAATTTTCAGCTTCCCCCATAGCCTGCAGACCCACTCTTGTTCCTGGGCTTGCAGCCAGTTCATACGCTGTTTGGCCAGTACCCAATTTTGCTAGTTTTGAGGAGGGTCGTGGGAAAATTAAATTATCTGAGGATGCACAGCTTGCATGTGAGACGCTGATCCTCAGTGTTACTCACATTCTGCTTTGGGAAATTTACTGTTTTGGTTCAACACTTCAGCTTTTGATCTGGTTTTGACCCCTGTTCTTGTAGGCTGTAATTCCTGACCTCAGTGATTCTGTAAACGTTCAATCAACTTCTGGGGGGCACAGCTGTCTACTAAAAAGGAGAAATGAATCTTGCTCTGTGTTAAAAGACAGTTAATTTAGGTAGAAAAATCATTGCAGGAGGAGGCAAAGCAATTCTCCCTGAAAACAAAAAACATAATTCCTTATCTTCCTCTTCAGGGTCTCCCACTTCTCTGCTGCTGAGATTCATTTTAGATATGTTGGGCTACTGTCCCATTGATAGGACAAGAGCTAATGGGCACAAGTTGCAATAAGAAAAATTCCAATTAAACAGTAGGAAGAGAAGTTCCCGCCATGGCAGGGGTCAAGCACTGGAACAGGCTGCCCAGAAAGGCTGTGGAATCTCCATCCTCAGAGATGTTCAGTACTCAACAGTACATGGACCAGAGCAACCCCTGATCTACGGTGGCTCTGCTCCGGAGGTCCTGTCCAACCTAAATGATCCTGTGATACCATCAAATATAGATTGGATGTCTGAGGCTGGATCTTGTCTCTGATTCCAGGGTTTCTTCCTGCAGAGATAGGACATGTCTTCCTTCTTGAAAGAATGGGTTTTCTCTTTTATTTTATTACAGAAAGCCTCTAAATGGCATCTTCTCTTTATGCAGAACCCCTTTTGGAATCTACCTCACAATCAGGATCTCTCTAATTGTGGTAATTTAGAAACACTGTAGTGGCAGAGGAGTCAAGTATTGTGGGCAGTTACTGGTAACTTTCTATGAAATGGAGCCCATCTCCATGCAAGAGTAACGTCGTCTCTTCTTTTATAGCTGTGGCAGCTCAGGCCATATGCTCTGCATAGGCATCTTGGCACTCTTTTAAATGGGAATAGTTGCTGTTTGAGCGTCTCTCTTCTACACAAAGTTTGACTCAAAATGTGGGCAACTGAAGTTTCTCTTCAGCTCCGAGTTGTCTTTTGCCTGCTGTGAATGTGCAGTAAGCTCCCTTACGGAGTTAGTTATTTAACAGACTGTGAATCTGGTGCTCTTTTGTAGTCTAGGACAAAGGTAAGTCACACTGCCCCATTGGGTGCAGGATTGTAGCTTCATTTTGGGTCCATTTGTGGCCTAAAGGCTGTCAAATATCCTTGTGTTAAACGGTATGAACACATTTGTTCAGTATTATCAGTTGTGTTTGTAGGTTCCTGATTCAGGAGCCTGCTTCTGGTTGCAGACTGGTTTCTTTTTTCGCTAAGGGTTTGTTTCTTTGCCACATCCAATGCCAGGCAAAAATGGAGGGGGAATAAGGAGTGATGACTTCCTTTCATTCCTAACATTGCTTGTCTCCATTAAGAGTGTCCTATTATTTTATTTATGAAGTTTGTGAGGAAGGGAGGACATCAGTGATATAGGAACTAGTGTGGTTCAAGTTCTTTAAGTACGATAGTAGATACAGTTTGAAAGAGGCTTCATGACCCAGATTAGCAGAGCAATTTGTGACAGGAAAAATGTAGTTGTAGTTAGATTAGTTGATTACTTACATTAGCAAAGTGGGGTAATGTTAAAACCCAAGTAGTGTCCAGGCTGACAGTCACAGTAAATGCTTGATCTTGGAGCTACACCTGTGAGGTGCGAGAATAAAAGAACCCGCAATACCCTTTTTACTGTTTCACTGACCTTAACATCCTTTTTTTTTCAATTAAATCTAAGTCTCTCAGTGATGCTTAGTTTGTCTTACACATAGAGTTGTTTTTAAGCCAACAACATACACAACTGGTAAGTTGTATGTGCTGTGGTCATAAAATACGTGGTTGGGTATATTTTTATTCAGAACTGATGACGATGTTTTCCTTGATTACAGATGAAGAGCTAGCGTTGGATTACAGCCTCGACAGAGATTTAAGGGACTACCACAAACTATATTGGGAAAGAGAGTTCAAACCTGTGGCAGAAAAACTTCTTGACAGAATTCAAAGCCATCGCTCCTTTCTTCCAGCTGTGACTGTTCCTCCATTTTGATCAGTCTTTTGTGTGTGTGTGTGGTGTAGACTGTACAGCTTTGTAGTTCTAATATACCTGTATGTTGCCATTGGTAAGCATGTTGGAGAACATGGGAAGTTAATTTTAGAAAAGTCAGTAAAGCCTGGCATTTATATACTGGATACTACCTTTTGAGAAGCTTGTATGAAATTTTTGCATGTGTAATTACTTTTTACAGTATATTTGAGCTGATCAAGCAGCTGTTCAGTGTGATTTGTCTATTAATTGCATAGTTTCTTGGCTGGGAAAATGAAACAAAACTATTTGCTGAACTTTTAATTTTTAAAAGGTAAATTACCACTGGGTACCTGAGCCTCAGCGGTACCAAAAATGCTGCGCGCTATAAAAGAATGTTTCATGGCAGGAGCCACACCTTCCCTGCAGGCTTTGACACACTTTTACTTTATATGAAATTCTGCGACAGAGTAACCCAAATGCCGCTGGCGCATTCTGCTGTGTCGTGTCATAAGCTTCACTCTTCAGACTGAATGCCGTCAAGGGGAAAGTTGCTCCCCTTTCCTTTGGAGATCCGCCTTTCTTCTCCTGATACTGTGTGGCTGGGGTATCCCAGGGCCTGCCTTGGTGCTTGGGGGATATAGGTCCAGCTGTGATAGAAAGAGGATTTCTCTGAATTGGGAGTTCACATCTTAAGGCAAAACACCCGTATCCCTGATGTAAGAGAAGATTTCAGCTAGTCTGCTGTGTTCTTCTTGCAGTTGTTCCCACGTTCCCAGGAGCCGCCCGTGTGCCTGTACTTCTCAGACCGTCTTGGCCTGCTTTCTCCCCTGTGCTCGTGTCTCCATCCACGGGGCAAAGACAGCCTCTACATCCTTCACGTTCCTTCTGACTGCTGCTGGCTTGTTTATTGCTCAGTTTTCATCCTTTCAGTGTGTAGAAGTCCCTGCTTTTAGCCCGTGGATGAGCTCAGCAGGTGCATCACTGGCCTCAAGCGTTAACAGTCCAATTAGCTACAGAAAGCTTTACAGACCTGACCTATTTGTCTCTTTTCTGACCCCAGATCACTAAGAATAAACTGCTCTGCAGGGGCTGCCGGCCAGGGTCAGCAGCCTGGCACTGTGCTGCGTGCGCCGGGGGAGCCAGCCTCCAGCCCGGCAATCCCTCAATCCCTGCGGAGAGGCTGGGGGAATTTGTGTTTCTGAGGCAGCAATTCAGAGCTCCCTCCGTGGCAGCGCTGTGCCTTCGGCAGCGCCCGGACCCCTGCTTCCAGGTGAGGAGCCGAAGCGAGGAGGCTGGGAAGTAGAGCCATAGTAGAAGGGCAGGGAAATTTTTTTCCTAGCGTAGGTCCCTGCTTCTACATTCTTGGGGACTTCTTTACTGGTGAAGGGGCAGGGGAGGGGAGATTTCATGGTCCAGGTTTTGGGAGTGGTGAGGAGGAAACTTCAGTGAAGGCAATGAAATTTGCAATGTTCCTTTTGTCCCAGCAGCTCGGGTATTTCTTGTGACCAGCGAGGCTCAGCCCCGCAGTGAAGCGCTTAGGGAGCGCGCGTGGCAGCCTTTATCGCTGCAATCCGCAGGAGAGAACTGCTCAGCAGTTCAGTTTAGTTTGGCTCCAACAACAGCTCTGCTGAGCTCAAAAAGATCTCAATTCTCACTCCTTCTTTTGCCGTTTTAATTTTAGCTGAAGTTGAGGGGGAAGATAAATGGCTTCAAAGCCCCATTTGTTTCTTGGTGGATTTGCTTTTTGGGGGTATTAAACGATGGGTAAGTACTCCCCTGTGGGGAGGGAGCTAGAGGCATTTGTTCTTGGCGTTCACATCAAGGCGAAAGGCAGGCAAACAGCCGGCTGCGTAATGCAGGGTGGGGACGCAGTGGAAAAGGCCTCGTGGCCAAGTCCCGTCAGCAGCTCCGATCAGAACTGACACGGGCCACGTATCTGTCAGGAGGGAGCCTGAAACTGATGTTTTGCTCAGGTGGATATGTAGGCAATTAAGATTTGTTCAAAGAAAATGCTAGTTATGTCAGTCATTACCCATCAAACTGTAAACAAGGGCCTGCAGCGCTGTGTAGCGCGTCCCGCAGCACAGGGCAAATTTGGGTACCCCGTAGCGGAGCACAAAGCGGGGACGGCCACTCTGTGGGAGCTCCGGCCTGCGACTCCACGGGATGGGTAGAGCAAAACCCAGCGGTGGCTCTCGTGGAGCTGCACGGGCCCGTGTCCTTCTCTGAACAAAACTTGCAGGTAACAAGAACGCGCCCCGAAATGCTGAATTTTGGATGTATTCTTAAGGCTTCTTCTACCCTTTTTACAGCGTCCCACGTGGGCCCAGGCAGCAGCCAGCCATTTAGTTGCCTGTGCTGGCGCACACCGTCTCCTTCCGTACGTTGCCTGGCCTTCGGGGCAGGATCCCCGCCTGCGCGGTCGCTCGGGGCGAGGTGCCGACGCTCCTGGCGCCCACAACGGCCGAGGTGCGCCAGCCGCTGCTGCCGCGCACCCGGGAGCTGCCGGGCTTTGCAGCCGCAGGCTGAGGCTCTGCAGGAGCCACTCGGGGGCCGCCGGGGCTTACAGCCTGCAGCCAGGGAGGGCAGGGACGGAGGCAGGGCTGTGGCTCCTGCCTCGGGCCCTGGCGTCGCGCACAGCTGCTGCTCTGTGCAGCTGTTGCCGCTTCCATGGAGCACCCGGCCACTTCACCATTTTCTTGTTTTTAAAGACTAACCCTAGCACCGTCTTTGGTTGCCACTGTGCTTCACAGCCTTCCTTGTTCTCTTCTGCTTAGGACCACAAACGCCTCAACATTTTTAATGGAAAATCCCCAAACGTTTTCAGGCCCTTCCTCCCAAATAAGTACGTAGCTTTGTGCGTAGTGAGGAGTCTCTGCATGTTGTGGGTAGTGCTCTGTTTGAAAATGTGACCATATGAAGCCACTGACACGCGCGCGCGCACACACGCACGCACGCGCACACACACACGCTCTCTCTCACTCTCTCTCTCACTCTCACACACACTCTCACACTCTCTGCAGCGTTTACTGCTTGAAAAGGGAGGGAGTGCCGGCAGGTAGCTGCAGGTGGCTGGGGAGCGCAGGATGGAAACAGCCAGTTTAGGCTTCTTGGAAAATTTCGTGTCTACCTTTGACACCCCACCCCCCCACCCCCACTCCCAGCAGGAGACTCAGGTGCTGCGGAAACTCCATTTACAGCCTGGGAAGACACTTTTTCTGTGTCCTTAGGCATAGCCTAGCTTTATGATATGCTCTTAGACAGGAAAGTTTTGCTCTGTTTTTGGAACATTAAAAATCCTGTATTTTTAGTTTAGAAGAGGAAACAGCAGATGCTTCCTGTTAGTCACCATTTTTGACAGTTTATTAATCTTTCTCCCCTAGATCTTTTTTAGATATTTTACCTTCTTGGACTATAAGCTTAAAACTGTTCTCAGAGTGTTCTGTAGTAAGAGAAACCAGCCTGAGCTAACTGAGAACCAAGCCAGGGGACAGAAATCTCCATTTAATTCTACGCGTGGGCTAGGGAAAACCAATTTCTTTCCCGCCTTACAAATACGGCTCCTACCTTCCTGTCGGCAGGTAGGAGTTTCTACACTTGAGTGCACTGTAACCCCCGTACAGCCAGCTGTAGGAGCGTGTCCAAAAGAGTTTGTCGCTCCCTCCTGGTGCCTCTTGCCGTGCGTTCCTCAGTCTGACTGCACCGACCTGACCATCCTTCTGCTGCTGTTGGCACCCGCCTATGAAAATCAACAGCCTAATCCAGAACTAAGTTCACTACTGAAGGATTCTAAAACGAGTTTAACTCTCAAAATAACATTTAGACCTAATTATTGAAAATACGTGATCATATAAACGTACTGTTGGAATCTCCAGTCATATCACACCCATTGCCTGTTGTCACAAAAGAGTGAAATGCACCCCTCAAAAGAGAGAAGCAGCAATACGTTCTCTTGAGGTGAACTAATAATTTCGTCAGAGTTCAACGAATTTGATGGAATTTAACGAAGTTTAGCAGGGGGTTGCGCAGGTTCAATAAGTCTGATGGTAAGGTTCACCTTATTAATTACCGCATGGAAGAAACGTACAAAGGAAAAACAAGTGACACTCGAGTTAGAGCGATTGACAGAGAGACCAGGGATGCAAAAGGGTAAGGCGGACCCTCCCGTCGAGTCATGCAGTTCAGGGAGGACCCCCCCCTTACTTTCTAAACTCCTCCTCAGAGAGGAATCTAGGTGCAAACCTAGTCTCAGACATGGTCCACGGTGTATGTCTAAGGGATTATATAAGCAAAATTGATGTAATGTTTCATTAGCATCAATTCAGCGTGCAATTAAAGTTACCCAGACAAAGTTACCATACTATGAGGTTATGTGCAATACTGGTCACTTACCAAAGATCTACTGTTGGCAAAAGGTGTCTCTGCCTCGAGGAGCAACCTTGAGAGGCGGCGCAGCTCACGGGGAGATCACCGCCATGCAGCCTGGCAGGGAGAGCTCACAGGCGGCTCACTTACTTAGGCTGGCATATTTACGGGATAAAGTGGTTGGCTCACAAATGACATGCCATAGAAAAGGTATGCAGGGGACTCCTTGTACCCACAACTTTATTCCTTGATAAATAAATCTTGGAAAAGCCACTCGTTATTCAGGTGTCAACTGCATGATCGGTGTTCCAAGCTCACATGCATCGACCGATGCTCACTGTGCCACTCTGCTCCTTTGTGGGTTTTCAGAGACCAGATTGGAACTAGAGGAGTTCCTGGCCCGGCCGTGAGTCAGGCCTCTACCTCCTTTTGGAGCCCGTCACTAGCCTTAAGTACTGCTAGTTCGGTTAAGGGGTCGAGTGCATCCATCGCACCTGCAAGGAAAGAGAAAACCCCGTACAACAGAGTATGCCTGAAGAGAGGATGGAGGACTACGGGAAAGATGAAATCAGGACTACATGAGAGGTGCTGCTACTATAGTTTTAGTGAAGATCTAAATCTGTTTTTCAAACTTTGTTTTCTGCCACCATTTTAGACTCAGTTGAAAAAGTCATGGTTTGTCATTTTGTTTGCTCAGTTACCGTTTCAAACATTTTAAAATGGCCTGTGAACCAGTAAGAACAGAAGCGTGAAGTTAAACCACACAAAAACGCCAAGAGGAAAAGTTGTTACCTTTATTTAAAAAATACCAATAATACTGACAAATTCAAAAAGCAATTCACACTCATACAAAAGTATCCATGTTCTCCAAAACCACTGTATATTAAACGTCAGCATTTTAATCATGTTTTGATTTACTAAAAATAGATGGTTTTTAGCCTAGTTATTTAAGCAACTGCAAAAATCAGTAAGACCAGCGTTGGGCATGTAATACAGTAGGACTGTTTGGCAGTCTAGAACAACATTCCCGCACCTCGTCCTAGCTCCTCAACGGGTATCGGTTCATCCTTGAGAAACAGGACAAGCAGCTACTCGACGCTTCACATAGCGAGATCTCTGAAACGCTCCGAGGACTCGAGTCCTCTTCTTTCCATAGGAAGACCATTGCACTTTGGAGCTCACCAAATAATGCTGAACAAATGTCCTGTAGCATTTTAAGGCTAAACTATTTGAGAAAATTGACGGCGATCTTAAAATTATCAGTGTGGACAGCAGAGGTTGAGTTCTGATTTAAAAAGAAAACTAAATAACAAGGCTTTTTTGAAACCACGCACAATAAAGGCTCAGACAATAGCAGTGCTCACTTTCACTTTTAGCTTAACTGGAACAGCCTGTGTCTGTTCACTCCACCAGCACAAATAGCAGCATCAAGATTTTCTAAAATTATTCTCGTA